CCACCACACGTGTGGGCGCTCCTCCTGGCAAGCTGATTTTTGGATCTCCGACACTCATGTTTGGGGGGGCAGGGGTGCCTGCAGATGTGTGTGCATGTGCAGAGGTGGGGTGAGCGCAGGGGGTTGCATGCGCAAGATTCCCCCACGGGCCGTTTTTTTTCCCCAGGAGGTTGCAGGGAGGCCTAGTAGACCCAAAATGGGGAGTGAGGAGAGGGTTGCTCGCGCATGCGTAGGGGGAGCACAGGAGGGTGGTGCGGGCATACATGGGAGGTGGGGGAAGCATGCGCGTTGCATTATGGGTGTGGGCACGCATAATTGTGTGTGTGCTTTTGGCGCATGACTGCAAAAAGGTTAGCCATCACTGTCCTATATCATTCCAGACAAATGGTTCTCTAATCTCTTCTTAAAAACTTCTAACGCTGTAGCACCCACTACTTCAAGAGGCAAGTCGTTCCACTGATATAATTGTTCTCGTTGACAGGAAATTTCTCCTCAGTTCTACATTGCTTGTCTCCTTGAGTTTCCACCCGTTACTTCCTGTTCTCCCTTCAGATGCTTTGGAGAATAGGTTGACCCTTCTTTGTGGCAGCCCCTAACATGGTGGCTAACCTTTTTAGGCTCCTGTGCCAAAAATTGGGTGCGCTTTTGCGCTTGCGCTTGCGTGCCAACATCCAGAAGGTAATGAGTGTGCCCCCCCATCACCTCCCCCGCCCCTTTACCTGCATTGCACCTCGAGCTGATTTTTCAGCTAGTTTGAGGCCTTTTTCATCCTCCCAGAGGCTTGAAGGAAGCCTCTGCAGGCTTTGCAGGCCGAAAAATGGGCCAGTTTTGTCACTTCCGGTATTTCCGGAAATACAGGAAGTGAAGAAACGGGCCTATTTTTCAGCCTGCAAAGGCTTTCCTCAAGCCTCTGGGAGGCCGAAAAAAGCGTCAAACAGGTCAAAAATCAGCTGTGACACGTGCATATGCACAGTGAGGCAAGTTTGCCTGCGACTCGCATGCCAGCACAAATGGCTCTATGTGCCACCTGTAGCACGCGTGCCATAGATTCGCCATCACGGCCCTAACATATTGGAAGACTGCTATTCTCTTTGAGCTGTTGTAAACAGGTTCAAGAGGCAGATGTTCCTTTCCTGCACACTGAGAAGATTGCAAAGAGCAAGGACGGAGCACTGATCTCTGTGTTTTCAGTTCCCCCTCCTTTGCCGGAAATATCACAGGAGGAAAAGCGGCCTGCTTATGAAATTTAAATCCGCTTAATGGGACTCATTCATGGTCAGCCAAGCTTAACATCTTAATGCAAATGCAGCAGCTATTGGGACCTTTGACGCCCGTTAAGCAGGTTGTAGGAACACAGCCATTCCATTACATATAAAAGCCCCCCCCCCGTTTTTTTTAAAAATTAAATCTGTTTTTTTTTTCATCCTATTTTGCTGAAATAGGTCATTCTACTGAAGGATCCAAGGATAAAAGTGCCATCTAGTGGTTAGCAGACCCAAATAGCTACTTTGGAGGAGAAAAAAATAATATTCCAAGTCAAAATGAGTAAATTTCATAGTGGTTCCATGAGAAGAGTGTTGGGGGGCATAATTGGGAAACCGAAAGTAAGTCCTGTGCCATCTTAAGAAGCTGCTTCAAGGTCACCCAGCTGGAAGAATGAGGGAGCGGCACACCAGAGCATGTTTGAACTGACCGCTGGGAAAACAGCTTGCAAAATTTCAATTGGTTACCTTGAGATGGGAAAAGAAAGACAATTAAGGAAAGGAAAGAAGAAGGAAGTATAACGTAGGGATTTTAGCACACGAATCTCAGTTCTGGCTATGCGTTATTGCCATAGACTTGATCTATAATAAAAATAGACTTTTTCTCAGAAAGTGGGGCTAAGGTTTGTTTTCTATTTTGAGGTCAAGGTTTATGGCAGGTCTGACAGACAATATCACCAAGAGATGGACAAGCTGTCCATAATAAGAGGCAACCCTAGTTTTGGGAGGTCAAAGGTCACAAAAAGTGGGTTGATGACCTCTCCAACATGGTAGGACAATGCTACATGAAGATAAAAACAAAATCAACATACAGGTAGTCCTTGACTTACAACATTTAATGGCCATTCAAAGATATAATGGCACTGAAAAATGTGATTTATGACCATTTTTAGAAGGTATGTGTCAGCTTTGAAATTCAGCTGCCACAAAATGGAGGGTGGGTAGAGGAGTTGAAAAGTTCAAGGTCATTCTGTATGTCATACTAAGAAATTTCCGTTGCAGTTAATTGGTTCTCGTGATTTATGAAGCGTAGAAGTGGGAGAAGGTGGATTCTGTGTAACACACAAAAATACTTTCACTTTGGGAAATTGCCTTAGACATACCAGATCTGTTTCTAAATAAATCAATTGGAGAGAATATGTCTCGGAGTGATTGATACCATGGATACTTTCTGGATGCCTTACAGTAATGAACTTGGCAGCATCCCTATGATCATGTGATCAAAATTCAGATGCAACTGGTTCATATTTATGATGGTCGCTGCCTTCTGGGGTCACATGATCCCCTTTTGTGACCTTCGGACAAGCAAAATCAAAGTCCGATTCACTTAACAACCAGGTGACTAACTTATCAGCCGCAGTGATTTGCTTAACAACGGTGGCAAGAAAGTTCGTAAAATGGGGCAAAACTCACTTATGTCTCCCTTAACAACAGACATGTGGGCCTCGACTGTGGTTGCAAGTCGAGGACTTCCTGTCATTTATGCTGAACTGCTCTGCTGCTTCCTAGGGGAATGCCACTACATGAAAATAGAAATTCAGAACGATGTTTTGCTTTCAGCCAAGAACGAAACTCTCAGCAGGGACCAATGGCACAAGCTTTGCAGCCAAGTGTTCGCACACTCACCTGTGTCATGTTTCCCTGAAAATAAGACCCTTATAAAAAATTTTGCCACCAAAAAGGGCACCAGGTCTTATTTTTAGGGGATGTCATCCACTAACTAACCCCACTTCTTTCCTCTGGGTTTTGTTGATTAGATATGTTTGTTGTTATACTAATGGCTAGTATTAGTGTGTAAAAGTAAACAGTTCAGGCTGTAATGTTACTATCTTATTCTACTGTGCTGAAAGGAATGGGAGGTCAATGTTTTTCTTTTTCTTTCTTTCTTTCTTTCTTTCTTTCTTTCTTTCTTTCTTTCTTTCTTTCTTTCTTTCTTTCTCTCTCTCTCTCTTTCTTTTCTTTCTTCTTTCTCTTTCTTTCTTTCCTTCATTCCTTCCTTTCTTTCACCTTTACTCTACACTTCCTTCTCTTCTCTTTTTCCTCTCCGGCTTCCTTTTCGCTGTCAGAGGCCTTCAGGAACTTCTCTTTCTGCGGCTGTCAAGGCTTTCCTGAAGGCCTCTGCAGCCAATAACAGAGATCTGGATCGATCCTACAGTTTCAGAGGCCTTCAGGGAAGCCTTGCTAGCTGAAGAAGAAATAGGCCGGCAAGGCAGGTGTTGGGGTATGTGAGGCCTGACTACAACTGTGCAAAGGTAAGTAGTAGGGTAGCTCCACACACACACACACACACACACCTCCACCCTAGCTTAATTTTTACCCCTCCATTCTGGAGTGGGCAGGATCTTAGTTAGGGTTTATTTTGGGGGGGTAGGGCATATATTGGGCACATGTGTAAAAAAAAATCAAGCCAGGACTTACTTTCAGGGTAGGTTGTATTTTGGGGGAAACAGGGTAGAGCTCAGAAGTTTTCCTGAGGTGAAATGGTACCAAAAGGAAGAGAAAGGGGACAGAAAAAAGACCACTGAAATCTTTCCAACACTGACCGAGGTTTTTTTTTATTTTTTTCCTTTTTTAAAACAATAAAAATAAAGAGCTGAGTTCTGTTAGCAAAACTGAACCACAAAAGAGTCTGTATTTTTCCCCTCCCCCTCCAAAGTTTAAACAGCATTGAAAAGTAAGGCTTTGCAAAGGGTATATTGAAATAAATTATTTTCACTTGAAACACTGCCCGGTTTTCTTATACGGTATACGGCTTTAAACGTCCTAAAAACCTAGCAGTGAAAGAAATTGTATGGGGGTTTTGTTTTTTTTCCATTAATACTGGGCTACCTCTGGATAAGGAAGGGTACTCCTGAAACACTTAAAAATGGCTTGCTTTGCGTCGTAGACATATTTATGGAGCCCAAAACCTAAGAAGCTTCCAACAGAGTTAGTAGCAATTGAAGGAGTTGAGAACTGCTGGAACAGACCTAACTACCTATCAAATAGCCCTCAAGTCTTTTGGACCTGTACATCTTATCAAGCTGAGGTTATTTGCAAAATGCACACTTAAAAAAATAGATTTTTGCATGCTGCCCCGCCTGTCATAAGGAAATGTCACCTTTTGAATGTCAGCAAGGGGCTCTCAGCAATTCACCTCCAAGCTGAATTCTCTTTGCTTCGCCCTGCTCGCTTGACTGAAACGCTGCGCTAACAAGCACCTTACAGCTTTCCCTGTGACTCCCGATCCTCTGGGTTATCTAATGCTGGCCACGGTTAAAACTGAGTTTTCTCGCCAGCCTCTCGGGAAAAGCAAACCCAGGAGACAATCAAAACTTTCCACGAGCGGAAGGGTGGAGAAGGTCTGGCTTCGAGTCACTTGGAAACTGCAGTGAAACTTTTGCAATTTGCAACTCCTGCAAATTAACACGCGCTGCTTCCCCCGCCCCCAAAATCTAGAAACATCATTTTTTACCCAAACAGTGATGCATATGTTTGGGCTGAAAAAAAAAACGAAAACAGCAAGTATGTTTGCTTATAGAAGGGAGGAGGAGGAGGAGGAGGAGGAGGAGAGGAGGAAAAGAGGAGGAGGAGGAGGAGGGGAAGAGGAGAGGAGGAGAGAAAAGGAAAGAAGAAGGAGGAGTGGAGAAGGAGGAAAGGAGGAGGAGAGAAGGAAAACAAGGGGGGAAGGAGGAGAAGGAAAAGAAGGAGAAGGAGAGGAGGAGCAGGAGGGTGGAATGACAATTTCTTTTTCTTTAAAAAAAAATAACCCTTCACTTCTCACTTATATTCTACTCCTCCTCAAAAAGAGCTTCACAAGGAAATCCCCTCAGAAAGGGGCTGTCACTCACACTGTCCACAAACATGCCCACACCCCCTCATTCCCCCCCCGCCTTGCAACACACAGCAAGTTCACGAAGAGGGGTGGGTGGCTGGGTATAGAAATTACCCTCCCCCCCCAAAAAAAGAAAGGAAAACGCCCACGGGGGGGGAATCAATAAACCCGCAAGGAAAGGTGAAGTGGTCAGCTGTCCAAACACTTATGTGCGATCACATGCTTTTTTTTTTGTCAAGAGCATAGAGGTGGCCCAACCTGATCCCTGGTCAAGCAGAGCCATGGTTTGTTTGTTTTTTTTGGGCGCGGGGGGGGGGGGGGGGGGGAGATCCCAGGGGGGAGAGAGGGGGAGAGTCTCGGGGTTTAACGTGTGGGGAAGGAACCGCGGGCCAGAAGCGTTAGGAAGGATGCTGTTTCTGTAATCTTCGCTCTGCGGCCGTGGCCAACATCCTGCGTCGTAAGGTGATGGAGTCGGAGGCGGCGTCTTCAATCGGGGAGGAAAACTCCGGTGTGGGATCATCGAAGCTTTTGTTTAGGTAACGCCTGGAAAAACAGGAAGAGATTCGTGACGATGGAGAAGTTATCGGTTTTGGGCTTGCCGGACGCTTTGCTCGGCTGAAGAAGTTGTCAACTCATAAAACATTCCTAGGCCTGTTTTAGTAGTTGCCAAAAAAAAAAGAAAATGGCGGGGGAAAGTGAAAGTACATTCCAACTCTTTATCTTTAAAAGATTGTAACTAAAATACCAGAGTTTTTGCCCACAAATATACTTCATTGGAGAACATGAATGATGACACCCAGCCTGTGAACATACTGGCAGTGCCAGTATGTTGCCTCTAATGAATCCTTTGAAGGTTTTTGAAGCTTGGCTCGAGAATCATGATTTAATTAGGACAACTGCTGGAATCCTGACAGCAAGCCAACTCTGGCATATGTAATTTATAGTCATCTGTGAACCTGTTTCCCAGAAACATGTTTTATGAGTTGACAGAAGTTTCTCTTGGCAACGCTAAATCGATCTGTCAGCAAATACCAGTAGTCCTTGACTTTAGCGACTGTTCGAAGTTACAACGGCACTGAAAGTGATTCGTGGCCATTTTCATACTTACAATTGTCACGACCTTCCCATGGTCACTTGGATCAAAATTCAAATGCTGAGCAACAAGTTCAGATTTATGACTGTTGCTGTGTCACTGTGTGTGTGTGATGTGATCCTTTTGCAACCTTCTGACAAGCAATATCAATGGGGAAGCCAGATTCACTTAACAACAGGATCACTAACTTAACAACTGCAATGATTCGCTTAACGAACAGGACAAAGAAAAGTTGTAAAGTGGAGCAGAACTCACTTTTAAAAAAATGTCTCACTGAACAACAGAAAAGTTGGGCCGTAAGCCAAGGACCACCAGTATCAAGTCAGATTTCGCAACCCGAAAATACGACACCCAAGAAATGCTGGAAAGAGCCTGTCCGAATCAGTAAACAGAGAACCTGGGTGTGTTTTTAAAGGCAGTGGGGTTCCAATTAGCCTAATCCAACTGGTTTGGCAGCTCAACGAACCTGAGCAGTCCTGAAAGGCATTTGAACTTCTGGAATTGTTATTAAACCCTATGCAAACATTTTCAAGGAGGGCTTCTTAGCCATGGGAAACAGGAAGGAAGTACCTGCTCATTGGGGGAAGAAAAAAGAGGAGTAGGAGGAGAGAGGGGAGGGGAAGAAGCAAGGAAGGAGAGAAGAGGGGAGGGGTGGAGAGGAGAGGAAGGAAGGAAGAAAGGAGAGAAGAGGGGAGGAAGGTAGGAGAGGAGAGAAGAAGGGAGGAAGGAAGAAAGGAGAGAAGAGGGG